TTTTAAGACTTATGTTGAAGAATCTCAAGAATTTATTTGTGTAAAATAGGGATAAAACTCACTGATACAAAACAAATTAGATCCAGTTGCTGTGCCCTGTCATTCTGCCAAGGATGCTGTAAACCAGTTGCTGCTTGTTAAGAGGTCATTTATGCAGATAGGACCATACCCTAGGCCTTGCTTCCCCAAAAGTCATTGTCTAAATGGATTTAAATCCAACAAGACCTTATCAATACAAAAGAGAAAACTGTACTAGAATTGCTTCATGCTGATACTGAGCAAAGAAAATGAGGTTATTGATAAAGTGTTTATTGGGAGAGCTAGTGGTTAGGAGTGTGAGCCACATAATCAGAGCAGTGAAAACCAATTCCTGAAGAGACAGAAAGTGTGAATGTTTGAGGGAAATTGTGCTTACAGTCATAACTGTAATATTTGCTTCTCTAGCTTGAGTGAAACTATCAATCACCAGGGTTGCCTGTTCATAATATGGATTCCCTGCACTGACTCCCAGATATTCTGATTTGTTGCCTAGAGGACTGTGCAGGGATCGACATTGCCAGTAACACTCGAGTGGAGTTGAACTCCTGATGATCCACACTTCAAGATGTCCTAAACATTTAAATAAAAGCTTTGAGCTTGGATTCTCTATCAGGTGCATAACACAAGTGAGACGAGTTGTTTTTAAGAACAATTCAAGCTGAAATGGGAACAGAGAGTACAAATATTTTGTCGAGAATCTCAAGGTTCCCCTATCCAGGGACTTATGATTTTTCCTCTCTTTGAACTTAGGATGTCTAGGATGGGACGGACCATCATCTTCTCCATTGATCGGCCTCAGTACTCCATCTTCAGACTGTTTGACAGCCTCACCTTAGTAGCCTCAGGAAAAGTCATGTTTCACGGGCCTGCGCAGGAGGCTTTGCCATACTTCATATCTGCAGGTATGACTGGCTTTGCTGTGAGAGCGCCTTCAGTCACGGGATCTGGGGAAAGAACGGGGGTTCTCAGGAATACTGCTTGGCCCTCATTCAGACTTATTGTATGTGAGTTTCTCCATTTTAAAAACCTTTGGTTAATTTGGTGACAGGGTTCTGTTAGTTGTGCAGGACAGGCTTGCTATACAGGTCTCCTTCCTTTCTCCTGTCCTGTGTCATGTCTGTGTTTCAGGATTTTTACTGAGCCTCTTGTTCTGCTTCCTACTCATGGTGACCCTCTTAAATAACATGCTGGCCTCAGGCCCAGTTACCCATAAGTTGAATAGCTTTGTAAAGGCCCAGCATCATTGTGTTCTTGCTCGTGCGGCAGACGATGAGTTTCGGTTTTTCCCTAGTGTCACCTGACTGCAGAGTTTACTTAACTTAGCAGTAACTTTGCATTTCAGGTTTAGGCCATGATTGAGGGCTGTAGTGGCTGAAGTCTGGGTTCTGTGGACTCATGTTTATGCCTGCCAGGTTGTTTTTAAAAGTCAGATTGGATGATTACATACTCTTAATGGGTCATGCCATCAAATTAATCTTAGAGAAATGTGGATATTGTTATGGATTATTCTCTTTGACTACAAATACAGGTTTAAATATTTGCTGCCTTTAAAATGTGTGAGCATTTGTGAGTCTATGGAGTTCAATAAAAATTTAGGCCAAATTTAAGTGATCCTTTTACTCGAAGAGTTCATATATCTATGCCTAGTCTATGTCTATTCTATCCCCATGTCTAATCTACCTCTATGACCAGATCTTTGTCTAGTCTATTTACATGTCTAGTCTATGTGTTTGTCTAGTTGTCCTGGTCTATGTCTAGTCTATATCTACTCTGTCGATGTCTGTGTATTATCCATGTTTAAGTGTATAGGTATGTATAGCACCGATATAAGCATACACATGTATTCAATGGTCTGTGAAACAGAGATTGCTGAAATCCTATGAGTGTATATATAATAGGAAAGGGTAAGATAGTGAATGGGAGGGGCAAGTAGAGAAAGAAGTTCTTAGATTCTGCCCCCCACCCCTACTTTCCCACTCTCTGAAAGTGGGTCCTCCATTTGTATTCATGGTCTACCTTTTTGGTAGGTTATGACTATGATTCCCACAACGACCCTGCGGACTTCTTCCTGGACATCATTAGTGGACATCATTTCTCTGCTCTATTAGACACAGAAGAAGATGGCCATGAATGTAAGTGAGTCTTCTAGAGTCACAGATTTTTAACTCATTGATTTCATTAAAACACAACTATTGCCTCAGGGATCAGCTTCTAGGTAATTCTGGGTTCAGAGGGAAGCCACGGGGCTGGTGAAGATAAGACCTTTTCTACCTAAGGGGTTAGGAAGAAAAACTCTCACACATTCTGTTGATCACATCCTTCTTTATTCATCAGCCTCTTCTGATGGACTAACTGGGATGGATCTGGCTGTACAAAAGGCTATTTATCAATTGTTACATAAAGTATTTCCTCATTCCAAGGTCCCCAAACTTAATGTACATGTCTGTTTGGAGGGAGCACCAAGTGCCTTCAGACACTAGACTTTCATTAAGCATTGTTTGCAGTACAGAAATAATACAAGAGCCCTAGCTGTGCATGAAGTGTCCTCTGATCAAGGTTATGGGATGCCCACGAGGCCTTCTCAGTAAAGCAATCATTATCCTCCACATGGATTCTTCAAGGCCAACGTACTTCCAAGAAACATCTGTGTATCCTAATCTCTGTCCCATACATTGATTTTCCTAATTTCCTATGCATACAGGTGACATGTTTTTCATTCCCCTTACAAGATTAAAAGAAAACTCACTCCAGTATCCCAAGTACATTTATTTCTAAGTAACGTATTGCAGATCAACAGATCCTAAGCACAGAGAAATCATCTCTTCACAGACAACTACCTTGCTGGCTGGCAGGGTCTATACTGTGCCTACACAGAGAAAATCAGTAATTCTACTGTATATCTATGAAGTCAGTCTTACAAGGAATGCTAAAGGAATCCCAAACTGAAGCTTTGTATATAAAAGACAATCAGTCAGCTGCACTTAATCCTCAGGATGTATACATCTATTGCTAGCTTCTTGTATCAGGAGAATTGAGGACAGGGATGGCTACATGGACACCAAGACCTGTGTCTGTATCTGATAAGTAAAAATAACAAGAAAGAGGCAGCTCCACCAGTGCAAGAGATCCAATTATGTGAAATAAAACCAAATCAAAATGCCCATCATTTTATTAAGAATAATGCTCTCAGGTGGGCAGTTAGGGACATTTTTCTAATCTGAAAGGAATTACACAGGAGTAATTTTATTATGCTCAAAGTTTGGTGGCCTGAAGATGTAGCTCAGCTAGAATGCTTGCATAGCATGAATAAAGCCATGAGTTTAGTTCCAGCACATAACTGGATGTGAAGGTGCATGCCTGCAATCACTTGAGACAGAAACAGGAGAAACTGCAGAAGTTAAATGTCACCCTTGGCTTCATAGCTGCTTTGAGGTCAGTCTAGGGTACATGAGACTGTCACAAAGAAAAACTGATACATAATTTTTGTCTTATTCATGAGTACTGTCTCAGAAAAATCAGTTAAATTATTGTCTGTTTCTTGTCTTTATCCATTTTTATCCCAAATCTGGTGAACATAAAGATGTTTCTGAGAGACAGCACCAAGTCACAGAAGAATTAGCCAATATGTATGCCCAGTCCTCCTTATACAGTGAAACGAGAACTGAACTGGATCCACTCTTGGGGGAACAGAATGCAGGGAGGAACTCAGCCTTGGAGGAGATCACGTGGGTCACCCCTTTCTGGCATCAACTCTGGTGGATTATCTGTCGTTCTCTTAAAAACTTCAAGGATTTTCCAAGAACGACTATAATGAAGGTAATCTGATGAGTGATTTTAATTATATTGTGAAAAACTCACATGGAAGCAATGTGTTTCTGAGTCAGTCTACTGCAGGGCCACACTTGTCTTCTGCTCCCTTCCTTGTGTCTGTCATATCCACTCTGCCTGGCATAGAGAAATATTCAATAGAGCAAGTAGACCATGATTAACGTTTTACTTACAGAAAAAGTTTCTGGTTGTTTTTTTTTTATTCATAGAAGCTATAATGACTAATTCAAGTAGGAAATTTAATTCGGGGAGTACAAGGAGTTCAGCACACCTGGGAGCTCCTCAGACCTGTCTGCTTTATTTCATCAGTGCATCCTACAAGTTGAAAATCTAAGAATGAGTCAAGGAGAAAATGGCCTTTTTTTTTTTCCTGATGTAGTGTTTCTTGTGAGGGAATGGATGGTGACTGGATAAGCAGATAAAACTGTAGCCTGTCAGACGAGAGAATGGACTTGGAGAAGGTTTAAGTAGAGAAGGGTGGAGATGCTGGAGGGAAAGGACGGTTGTTCTGTGGTTGAAATCATGTGATGAGGAGACAGGGCCACAGAACAGCTCTGAGGGAGCCTGAGCATCGACTGCCTGAGATGAGCCTGCTGCAGAGTGCTGTTCCCTCCTCAGGAGTCCAGTGTGTGAAAGCAGTAGCTACTCAAAGAGTGCAGCTCACACACACAGTAACTGGATGAACAATGCTCTTCCCTGTCAGTCAACTGGAACAGGGAGAGGGTGAAGTTCTACTTTTCTTTAAACTGGCTCTGTAACAAGGATCATCATGCCTTAAGGTTTTCTGTTATTTTAACATAAATGTCACACAGAAATGTGGTTCTTCCGGCTCATTTTGACATCACTTTTTCAGTTATTTTTGTTTCCTGATGATGATGATTCTTCTGTGTTAGTGTTTGATCCTGGGCCTTAGCCAATAGTGAGCAATCACTCTACTGTGAACCTACATCTGTGTCCGATTCCAAACAGAACTTACAGTCATTTCTGCTCCTAGTGCGTTGTCATTTCATTCTCAGGCATTTAGTTTCTGTCGATTATTGAAAGGTTGTATACGTTGGCTGTAATAAAACACCACTTACTTCTTAACATGTGTGATGCCCTTTTCATACTTCAATGTTTCTTCCTTCCCTGTGTTTGTGAATATTTTGACCATTTGATTTATACTGGACTTTCAGTTTTACTTGAAGATTTATGTCATAAAAAAGATATTTTTATGTCCATTCTTTTAGAAAAAAAAAGATTCTATATGAATGGAAAACAGTGAGTTACATTCATCAAATTGGGTTACTCCTTATTCAACAGTGAGGCAATGTGATGGCATAAGAAGTGTGTGTGTGTGTGTGTGTGTGTGTACTAGGAACTGAGGACTAATTTTAATATTTGTTATTTTTTATGTATGGGTGTTTTGCCTGCATGTATAAATTCTCACAATGTGCATGTCCATGGATGCCAAAAGACAGCATCAGATCCTCTGGAACTGGAGTTACATAAAATGGTTAGGGCCCGTTTGGGTGCTGGGAACTGAATCTCGGGTCCTCTACAAGAACAGCGAGTGATCTAACTACTGAGCCTTATCTTTAAGTTCTGAAATTTTTATTTCTGATTTATCAAGTTACATGGTAGGATGCTTTTCCTTAGATCATAATATTTTACTTTTAAAACAATATCCAAGGAATAATAGAATATTTCAAATAAGTTACAGTATCATGTAGACTTACTCCTTTGCTAATGGAAGCACCTTTCAAAGTCATTTTCATCCAAAACCAGAGCAGTGCAGACTCCTTGTGATGGTCGGCACAGATTGGGTAAATGAAGGGAGATGGGAATCTGGAGGAGCTGGGAGCATAGGTGAGACTTGAGCCCCGGCTGATCTGCCTGAGGCTGATGGAGCAGCAGTGACAAAGGTGATGGGCAGTGGGAGCATTGAGTCACCCAGAGGACACTGTATGATCACTTTGGTGACAGCAATAGTGCTGGTTCCCACACAGCACAGACTTCCCTGAGGTGACACTGGTGAGGTCCAGCTCACCCCTTCTTAGCACACAAAATATTATTGCTAGGAACTGTGTTGTGAGCCATTTTTAATTTTGTTATTTGGTTTGCACCTGAGGGGATTAGCATTACTGTGTGTTGTGAGGGCTCTGCCACTGAGCTGTCCCCCTGACCTGGGTGTCCTTGTTTCTAACTATAACAGTAAAGAAAGCCTGAATTCTTGTGAGCCACTTGAGGTAGAAAGATAAACATGGTCACTGGCGCCAGAGCTGAGACCTCAGTTTAGGTGAAGATTTTCTGTCACTTACCTGGGTTTGTTCCCAGAGCTCCCCAGGTGCCTGCATTCTCTGCCACCCTGTGTCATCCAGGTTTTAGTTCCTGAACTGAGTCCTTCACTGGCCATTCCTGCTGGAGCACTGGGAGAAGTCTTAGCTTCCAGGGTCTGCACTGTTGGAGCCTCAGATTGCAGAGATCTTCACTGTCAGTCTGACATACAAGTAGTCCATTGACATGCGTGTTATATGTTCTTCCAGGGACTCTGGCCATAATATAGTGTTTACATCACTGGAGAGATATGATTAGTAAACTATGTATTCCAAAATAATGGACCATGTGAAGAATACTTTCTACACCTATCTGAAAATTTTCCCCTGTTTTCTTTTTGAAAGGCATTTATCATATTCATACTGACTGTGTATATGCGTATCACTTTACATATCCAAAGAAATGTCTGTTCTGAAGTCCACACCAGGTAAGCAAATGAGAAAATGCTGTCAATTTTTTCAAACCTATATAAATCCATGAAAAATTTAAATTCATGACAAGAACAGAGTAAACATTTTACCATGGGATAGAGTGTGTTTGAAGACTGAGTGAAGAACTCACTTTTTCACATATGTTTGTGTATAGATAGTATGAAACTCTACACACCACATATCCCATTTTGCCTGTTTTAGTGTATGAAGTGGTTTCATGTTAGTTGTGTAGATAGTATGGAACCCCACACACAACACATCACATTTTATATGTTTTAATGTATGGAACCAAGCTGCTGAGTGTGTGAGAACATCCCTTTGAGTGCTGATGTTTTGTTCTTTAAGGTAGAAAGCTAGAGCTGTCCAATCACAGCCCATTGTGTTAATTGTTTGAGGAGCTGCTGTCCTGTCTCCAACTCCACTGTCCTATTTCATATCCTCACCAGCACAACACAAGGGCTCCAGTATGTGCACATGCTCACCCAGACTTATGTTCTTTCTTGTTTAGAATAAGCTATCTAAGAAAATTAAATCACGATTCCTTGGATGTCTTATTAAGTGTCTCCTTCTCTGTTCTTTCCCCATCTCCCTCATCTTGTACCGTCTAGTTCTCCCCTTCCACTCCTTGTTCCCTCTTCCTCCTCTTCTGACTTCCCTTCTCCCCCCACACCCACACTCTCAATTTTCTCAGGGGATCTTGTCTCCCAATTTTCCCTTCCCAGGAGGATCTATATATGTTTTCCTTAGGGATCTCCTTGTCATTTAGCTTCTCTGGGGTCATGGAGTATAGGCTCCTTCTCCTTTGCTTTACAGCTAATATTTACCTATGAGTGGGTACATACAATGCTCTTTTTTCTGGGTCTGGGTTACCTCACTCAGGATTGTTTCTTCTAGTTCCATCTATTTGCATGCAAATTTCAAGAAAGATGTCATTGTTTTTTACTGCTGAGTGGTACGCCGTTGTGTACATGTACCACATTTTCTTTATCCATTCTTTGGTTAAGGGGCATCTAGATTAATTCCAGGTTCTGGCTGTTACAAATAATGCTGCTAAAAGCATAGTTGAACAAGTGTTCTTGTAATATGGGTGAGCATCCTTTGGGGGCAAAAGATACTCAATAAAATACTAACAAATCAAATCCCCAAGAACATGAAAAGAATAATTCACCGTGATCAAGTTGGCTTCATTCCATAGATGCAGGGATGGTTCAACATACAAAAATCTATCAATGTAATCCACTATATAAATAAACTGAAAGAAAAATTCAGGGGCAGACCATATTTACTTGATTGACCAATAGTTAAAAATCAAACAGATTTCATTTCTATAATACTTCAAAGAAATTTAATGTAAGTATTGAGAAATACTTTCAAAGATACCTACATTGCCAGCATTACAATCTGATACTTTCAATAAGAGTTACCCTACACTACTCATATACCATCTTCTGGCATTACATCTGATACTTTTAATCATAATTATTATAATGGTCAAAGAAGTTTAGTTACTAGTTACTATCAATTCACTTATATATAAGTCAAGTGTGCTCACCCTTTCCCAGTTTTTTGAAACTGTGTTGATTTTGGTTTATCCTCAATATAAAATTTTTATGACACTTAACATACCACAAATTGATGATACTTTGAGAGCAAAGCAGAACTGGACAGTCCCCTCCAGTGCTGCCACCACTGAACGGACTGCTCTGTCACGCTGCCTGCCTGAACACTGACATTCTTTAGTTACAAGTGTAAAGACACCTATCTACATGTGTTTAAAAATTGAACTGCACAAAAGAAATTTATATATATATGTATATATATACAATAAATTGGTTCTTAAAAATACAAAAATAACATCTCTCACTTCTGTCATGCTGACAACTTGACATATATATGCATGCAGAAAAACTTCCAACTCTGTCATCTGAACGGCTGTGCTCTAATATGGTGAACAAACTGCCACTACGTTCACACTGACAGAAGGTGTATTCAAAATATTTCATATACTAAATACTGCAATAGTCTCTGCACGTATAAATGCTGGTTATAATAGTTTTTGCTTTGATTAAAAGTGTCTTAAGCTAACATTAAGTGCACTAAAATCCACAACAGTTCAGAAATCTATGCACTTACAATAAATAAATCCAAAATGTACAACTATAGAAGCAAGAAACAATTACTGCCATGCAAGACTTAAACTGAAAACTGCAAGGAAATGCAATTTAAAACAGCAAACTCAAATACATTTAACGCTCCAAAGGTCAGCAGCGAGTTCTACCAACAACAGACTTTAAAAAGAAAACACACTCTCTTTGCTGGTATAAATCACATCTTCAGATCTGAGAGTAAGCCGCCTGTCCTCTGGTTGAGGAGATTTGCTCTTTTACAGCTGTCTTAATGGAATCTTTCCTCTCAGTTAAACCGTAAGCGGGATAGTTTTCATGTACCTCTTTGCAAATCTGCTTCATTGCGACTTCTTCCAAGTTAGCATCAGTCAGTAATTTCTTCACTGTTTTCTTTAATTCTTCATCTGTAGGTGGTTTTTTTTTTTTTTTTTTTTTTTTTTACAATTTTTAGTCAATGGTTCATCATCAGAACTATCTTCAGAGTCAGATTCTTTTTTGGAACTGTTTTGATTCTTGGTGGTGCTGCTCTCTGCCTTCTTAACATTAGCACTTTCTACAGACTTGTTACCTTCAGCAGCAGCTTTTTGTTTTGCTTTTTCTTTTTTAGCTGTCTTTTTTGGTGATTGCTCCTCTTCATTTTCTTTCTCTTCATCTTCTGAAAACTCTTCCTTATTTTTCTTCTCATCTTCATCACTACCGGATTCATCTGACAGAATTTCAGGACATTTGGTTTGCTTTGACTTCCTTGTTGTTCCAGAACTGTTCCGTTCCTTTTACTACCTTTGCTTGAAAATTTTTTGGATTTTGGCAATGGTTTGCCAGAAGGCTTTGGATGCATTAAGAAATTCAAGATCCTCTTCACTAGTTTGCAGTGCACCCCTGATCTCTTTACATCAAGAACCTCACAGATGCTCTTTAGCGTGGCATTTCTAAACTTTTTCAGCATTTCTTCCTTCTTTTTACACTAGGTACGGCCCTTTTCAAATGGAACGCCACTAAACTGACCCACATTCTTCTTTAATGAGGACGCTGTGCCTGGTCTGCTGTAAAGCAGTTTGTGTAGATTTCTAAGTTCATCTGTTTTTTTCTTACTCAGAAAGAAACGTATCCTTTCAATTTCACAAAGTCTCTGGCCCTTCCCTTGTGAAATTGTAAATGGCTCTCTTTGTAAGGAAGACACTTGCATTGTCAATCTTTTTACTTTCTTCTTTTCTCTCTTGCCTTCCACAGTGAGACTCTTTTCTTTCTCTTCCTCCTTGTTGTCCTTTTCTTCCTCCTCCTCCTCTTCACTCTCGTCCCTGGGGCCCAGCATTTCGGGCGGGCAGCACTGGGCCATCCTCTGCCTCCACAGCGGGGGGCACCGCCGCCTCCGCCCACATGCTGCTGGGGACAGCAGGTGCTCAGGAGGAGGCCGCCAAGTGAGAAGGCGCACAGGCCTAGGTCTTGTGCCGCCGCCCACTCTTTTTGTTTGTGTGGCAGTTAGTTTATTGCCAACTTAGTCCAGCCCAAGTCGTGTGGGAAGAAGGAATCTTGAATAAGAAATGCATCTATCAGGTTGACTTGTAAGCAAGTCTGTGGGACATTTTCTTGATTAATACTGGATGTGGGAGGGGCCCGTCCACAGGGAACAGTGCCACTTCTGGGCAGGTGTTTCTCAGGTGTCTAAGCAAGCAGTTTGAGCAAGTCACAAGGAGCAAACCAGTAAAGAGAAATTTTATGCGGTCCCAACTTCCATCCCAGTCTCCCAGATCCTGCCATGAATTCCTGTTTGACTTTCCTAGGGGGATGGACTGCAACTTGCAATGTGCTTGCCAGATCAATGCCATTCTCCCCAAGTCGCTGGTGATGAGGGTATTCATTGCAGCAAAACAAACCCAAGTAGAAAAGCTCAAAAACACTTCTTCAATATCATTTAATAAAGCTATTAGATTATTTTCAGATTCAATATCAATATTTTTATCACTAATGTTCAGGAGGCAGAGATACTTCTCATATTTGGAACCACCACAGCCTTCATACTTTGTCAAACCTTAAAACTAGGAACTGGGTTCGAATTTTGTGTTATATGAACTCCTTTGGCTCCACAGCATTATGGGGCTGAGGTGGCAGTCATTAAGGAGAAGGCATTAATAGAAATAATTGGATAAAGAAAATTATTCTGTGCATACTTACATGCATGTTTAAAATCATTTACCCAAAATTCATGTGAAGACTGATGTTCATTGGAGCACTATACACAATAACAAAGTTAAGGGGTCTAAGTGTCTGCTAACACATAAATAGTAAAGAAGATGTGACTCAGAATGCTGCTTCTCTTCAAAATGGGAATTTGTAGCAATATAGAAAGAATTGAAAATTTGAGGAACATCATGCAAAGTAAAGTACTCCAAGCCCAGAAAGACAAACGTGTTTCACTGACAAGCGGATTGTAAAGGAATTGACCTCCTGGCAGCATAGTACACATTGTCAGGGCAGTTGGGAGGTAGGAGACACAGATGGGTGAAAAGTATAACGTCTTTAAACAGCACAAGTAGGATTTTATTCCTTTGAGATAAACTGCACAACACATTCAATCTAGATATTAGTACACATTTCAAAGTTTCTTAGAATACATTTCTAATGTGTTACTGTAAATTGATGTATAATTGTAGTGATGGACATCACCTATTTAGCCTGATATAATTATTTCACAAATTTTTTCATGAATCGTACGAGTTTCATACCTTAAATGTATTGGTATAGATTGTCAATCTACAATTATAATATTTAAAATGTCAGGTAAAAAGTAGATGTGGCATATATGGTTAAATATAGCCAGGGCCATAAAGTTCCCTTCCTAAATTCTTGGTTTTGTTGATCAACACATATGAAAGTAAGCAAGATGGGAATTGAGGACAATTTAGTGGAGACGGAGATGGAGAATGCGCTGAGCACCAGGGAATGTGTGTGTGGGAATGGAAGAATGGAGAGAGAGAGAAAGTTGTGCATTTAGTAGAGTGGAGCAGTGGAAGCAAAACTGGCTCATTAGGAGAGGAGGAGAATCCCTGGTCCTCTGGTCTATGGTTGTTCATATGGAGTACAGGCCTTCTGGGCTACGGTTGCTCTTATGGTGCACAGGTCCTCTGGGCTATGGTCTGTCACATGATGCTCAGGTCCTTTGCTCTTGTTTGGTCATCAAAGGCAGGGCCACAGTTGTGACCTCACAGGCCTAGAACTTGTCTTGTAGCCCAGACTGGCCTCAGTCTGCAGCAGTCCTCATGCCTCTACCTCCCAACTTTCACGAGTTTGGAGATCTTGCTCCCTGCTCTTCTCACAGTCTTACCCATTCTTAGCTTGTTTTTTTCTTTCCTTTTTTTTTCTTTTGAAATGTGGCCTTTCCTAGACTGTTAAGTGGAATTTTTCTTTGAGGTAGGAGGAAACTTGTCTCTAATAGGTTCACCCTCATCTGATCTGATATCTAACCACCACCACATACCTAGATAAAGAGTCACTGACCTCTGACTTTAGTTGAAAAGGTGTAGCAGGCTGTTAGGCCCAGTCATGCCATCTGTCTTAGAGGAACCTGATGTGTGTCCAGGAAACACATAACTGCAGAGGGCCTTTTGCTCCCCCTCCTCCTGCTTATCATCTCCTACCACATGATCACCAATTATTTCTTCATAAATAAGCATGATTGAATTCCTTTTCCGAGCTCTTTGGAAACCATGCAGAAAGTTGGTTGGTCTGTTTTAGGGGTAATCATTGGGGCTCTAAAGATGGTTCTACAGTTGATGTCTGTAGTTAGCTGTTGAGTGGGGATTCCCCACCGTTTCACGTTTTCATTCTTACTCTTCTGTAAAATCAAAGTGGTCCACTGAATATGAAAATTCCTTGGAGTATTATTCATCTTTTTGTTTCTTTCTTTATACATTGGGAATGATGCTTATGAATTTTGTTAGTTAAAATAAAATGATGAATTGGGCTGCCAAGTAACTACCACAGAATCAGTGGGTTTAAAATCAAATGTGTCTCTGCACTGCAGTGTGAGAGCCTGAGGGGAGGATTCTCTCCTAGCTCTTCCTGTCTGGCCACCTTCTCTCAGACGTCTTGTATCAGACCCTGCAATGCTGTTTCTTCCCATGATGAGGACACAGATGGCATTATGGGGTTCCACTCTCAGCATTTTATCTGTAACCAATTAATTCCTAAATTATATACTCTAGAATGATTACATTATAGGTCATTATCAAATTCTTGGATTTTAGAGGACCTACTTCGATGAACAGACACTGCTGTGGAGACAGAGAGAAAATAACTCATGGGACTCGTGCTTTCTGACCTTTTAAACCAGAACAGTTCTAAATACTTATTGTATTTTTAAGTGTATGAGTGTTTGCCTACGTGTATGTCTGTGTAAACGGAGTGTGCCCTGAGACCTGTGGCTATCAGAAATATGCACTGGTTCCTAGTTTTGGTTATTATTGTTCTTAATAAACAAATGACCGAAAGGCAAGCTGGAAAGGAAAGGGTTTGTTCAGCTTGTATTTCCAAATTGTAATCCATCATTGAAGGAAGTCAGGACAGGAGTAACTCCAAGTAGGCAGGATCTACAGAGACCACGATGGGTCCTGCTTCCTGACTTGCTCCCAATAGCTTGCTTAACTTTTTTTCTTTTATAACCTAAGACCACCAGCTTAAGAATGTAGCCTCCACAATGGGCTGGGACCTCTCTGATCCATCAGTAATTAAGAAAATGACTTGACTGAATCTTATGGAGGTGTTTTCTCAAATGAGGTTCCTTCTTTTAGATAACCCTAGCTTAGGTCACGTTGACATAAAACTCACTGGCACGGAATCCCCTTGAACTCAAGTCACAGATGACTGTGATCCACCATGTGAGTGCTGCCAACCAAACCCGGGTCCTTTGCAAAGCAACAAATACTCTTTACTGCTGATCTATCTCTCCAGTACTGTTTTCTTTTTCAAAGAACAGATCTGTGTAACATTATTTATTCTACAGAACAAGGTGTATTGGAAAGAAGCCATCCTAATGTTGAATTTACTGTTGCTTTGCCTTCATTCTCTCCTGGCAGAGCCGGCCTGCTCTTCTTGCTCACAGTCTTCCAGTGTTTTATAAGTGTGATTGCGGGAGAGGTTCTCATGATTGACAGGGATCGTTTTCCGTGAGTAACCCCTGCTCCAGAAGCAGGCATCAGGGGTGGGTGCTCAAACTAATTACATTCATAGTTGGGCGTAAAATGTTATGCCATGAATTACCAGTAATTCCCCTTTTCCTTAATTACTTAGTTGAAAATAAACAAACTATGAAATTATGTTTTTATCATGTGGTACCATGAATTTTGAAGTATGTAAAGAGTTTTGTAGTATTAATTGAAAAATGGATGGAATATCAAGAGCAGAGGTTTTTGCTGCTCAGAGAAAGTCTCAAAATTAGGGTGAGACCACTAGATCCCAGTGCTACAGACACACAGCTTAGGGGGCTGAATATGACAGGAAATTCACCCACCCTCTCCCAAAGAAAGCTGTCAGGGGTTTCACAGAGCTTGGGTGCAGTGGGCTCAGCAGCACTGGAGCTGGAGACGGACAGCTGCACAGGAATCAGGGTCCTCTTGATGCAGGGCTGGGAAGAACAGACAGCAGCCCAATATAAAAGAGCTGTTTATCTCCTGTGTTTTCCAAACATGCAAGAACCTTTTCCTGGTAGTTCGTACTTAGGATTCCCTGCTCTCAAAGACTTCCAAGATTTGCCTCCAAGTACATGCCAAGGAGAGAAGTCTTCAGAGAGGAGCTGAGGGCCTCACTTAGTTGGTAGAGCGCTGGCTCTGTGTGCAGGAAGCCCTGTGTTAGAGTCACAGTACCATAAACCCTGAGCAGGGCTGTATTTCTGTTATCCCAGAATTTGGCTATCAGGTTAGAGGCCGGAAGTTGCTCAGTCTTGGCTATGTATGGATCTTAAAGCCAGCCTGGCCTGGTGATTCTATATCAAAAACAAAACAAAACCAAAACCAGAGATGCACTGAAGACACTGGGAAGGGAAGAGCTTGAGATTTGGAGGGCAAGGCAGGGAGAAGGAGAGGGCTAGGTTTGCCATATGATCAAGATTCACAGTTGTAAAGAGAGATTATTGAAGGATGCATCTGTCCTAAAGTGAGAGAAGGATGTAGTGTCCTGAAGCTGCACTGTGAGCTCAGAGTAACAGTGTCACCTTCTTCATAAGAACTGGAAGGAGAGAAGTCTCCATGACCACTGTCTGAGGTGAGGTATGAATGAGCTGCTCCTCGGGGAGCCAGCTTCAGAGGGGCAGAAACTCTGGGGAGACTGGGCACATTGGGCTGTTTTCCTGAAGGAGCTGTTATGTGCTCAGAGTGCACAAAAGAGGGGAGAGTTCTTTGGTGGGGACAATCATAGTGAGAATGTCATGAGGCTGTTGACCTAGAGTGGCTGGTCCCTAAGATTGGGACATGTGTGGGAGTCAGCATGGAGTATAGAGGACACTGTCCTATTAGGCATTCTGTGGTAGCAGAAGTCACTGTGGTCAGCATCTCCCCTGTGCTTTCTGGACTAATTTAAGGATGTATAATGTGATCTTTGTCTCTGCAGACATGAGTATACCAGTGGATACTACAGAGTGTCATCGTATTTCCTTGGGAAATTGCTGGGTGATCTGGTACCCAGGAGGTTATTGCCAAGTATTATATTTACTGTTATAGTATTCATCATAGTAGGTAAGTGACAAAGCAAGAGAATGCGTCTTCACTCTTGGGGGAGCGTGCTTTGGTTTGTACAGCTGCGGCGAGTCTAAAGTAGGAGAGCATGAGTAGAAAAGCTCCTCTCACTGTGTGCCATCAAATCAGGAGTTCAGGGTGAAGACAGTCTTCAAGACTTGCTCACAAAATAGTGTAATAACCATTTAAGAAACTATGTTTTACTAGAGATTCTGTGCATTGTAATGAATGTGGAAATAACGTACACATTTAAGACAGTGACAATGGAGCAAGATCAATTATTAGATACCTCTGCAAAAGTATTTTAAAAGATTTATTTTTCCTTCATTTGATTGTTTGCCGTGTGTGTGTGTGTGTGTGTGTGTGTGTGTGTGTGTGTGTGTGTGTGTGTACGAAGTTGATCCAGTGCCTTGGGAGGCAAGAGAAGGACATCAGATCCCCTGGAACTGGAGTTACAGAATGGGAACTGCTGTGTAGGTGCTGGGATTGGAATCCAGGGCCTTGCAGTAATAGCACATGCTCTTAATCAGTGAGCCATCTCTCTACCACAGCTGTATATTTTTCCTATTTTTTGTATAAGTGTCTGTATATCTAATTATAATATAGAAAAGTGGATAACATCTCACACATATATATGTTGGAGGAGGGTGCTGCTTGTTGATTCCTGGATGCTTAGCTCCAAAATAATCACACAGAAACTGTATTAATTAAATAACTGCTTGGCCCATTAGCTCTAGCATATTATTGGCTCACTCTTACATATTAATTTAACCCATTTCTGTTAATGTGTATATCACCACAAGGTCGTAGCGTACCAGCAAATTTTTGGCACATCTGTCTCTGCCGGCAGCTCCATGGCGTCTCTCTGATTCTGACTTATTTCTCCCAGCATTCATTTTAGTTTTCTTCACCTAGCTCTGTTCTTCTGCCCTATCACAGCCCAAGACAGTTTCTTTATTCATTAACCAATAAAAACGACACATAGACAGAAGGACCCCCACAAACCACATGTATATGTGAAAAAGCACTAAAATGTATAAAATGTCTTATGCTAAGGTTTATTGACAATATATAATATAAAAAGGTATTTTAAATATGTGCACAGTGGATTAATCGTTCAGAATTTACACTTTTCACTCCCTCCACACACACTCATAAAGACACACAGACATGCACACTCATTCACACATGCACATATATGCACATACACTCTCTCACACACATAGACTTTCAAAAATAAGCGCTGATAACGATTAGACATTTTTTATAAGAGATTTATTATTCAGAACCAGTCATCAGGCTGTGGGACGGTTATAGGAAATGTGCTTATCTTGCAAATCAGACAACCTGAATTTGATCCTCAAAATTCACAGTGACCGAGAGAATCACTCCAGAAAGGTGTCCTTCAACTCCACATGTACAGCACGGCACATGCACACCATGGCACATGCACACCACGGCACACGCACACTATGGCACATATACGGGGTGTCTCTGCAGACCCCGCTGACGAATTAGGCCAGCCACATGCAACTGGCTCTGGCTGAGGAGGGGAAGTGTGTTGCTTGCCAGCCAGCCCCTGGGGTCTGGGAGACAATCAGATGCAGCCAGGAGTCGAGTCAAGTAGGAACTCATTTATTGTCTTACTACATGCAACTTATAAAGCAAAATGTCACAAATCCCAGAAGAAGTGGAGGGAAATTAGCCAATCCCATCAGCAGTCATATCTGCATCGGCTGAGGCTCCCATAGTCCCTAATGGGGATAACGAGGGCATCGGGCACTTTATGTCTCCTTACCCCATCTCTAACCAAACATCTTCTTAAAATAAGTCAGATCTCCTCCTCCCTTGCTCCTCTTCAGTGCCATCTTGGCTGGGAGTATTCTTCATGGACTTTGCAACATCAATGTTTTTGAATTTTGTGCCCCTTTCTAACAGTTACGCTTTTGGCATAGCTCTTATGCTTTTGGCGCCAAGTGCACCTTTTTCTAAATGTCACTATTTTGTGCTAACTTGGCCACTCCAGCCTGCTATATGCTCATACTCGATTCAGCCCACACACATGCACACCGCGGCATATGAACACCACGGCACATGCACACCACAGCACATTCACACCACGGCACATGCACACCATGGCACATTTACACCATGGCATATACACACCACGGCATATGCACACCACGAAACATGCACACAATGGCACATGCACACCATGGCAACCATACCTACAAATTCATTTTTCATACCATGATAGTAATAACATTAACTTTGTAAACAAAATTAGGCATGAAACCCAGTTCCCCAAATTCTAACTGTGTCTTGTGACTATTATAAAACACACAATTGTGTGTGACTCAGCATTAGCTCCATAAAGATTACAAATCAGCTTGTGGAACCCATCTCCTTTCTCCATAGCAGTTACCTGGTGATTTCCTATGGAAAAGTAAAGCTGCAGGCACCCTCCTATCCTCCAGATATTAAAACCACTGCATGGTTGTTTAACCCTTGCCTCAGTTAGGTTTTTAGTGCTTTGACAAACATCATGACCAGAATCAACTTGTCGAGGAAAGGGATTATTTCATCTTACAGTTCAATGTCCTTTAAGAAGGGAAGTCAGGGCAGAAACTCAGGGCAGGAACCTAGGGGCAGGGAGTGAAACAGAGTTCACGGAGGAGTGCTGCTTACTGGGTCCTAATGGCTTCCCCAGCCTGCCTTCTTATAGAACCCAGGCCCTCCTGCCCAGGGATGGCATCATCCACAGTTGTCTAAGTCCTACCATATAAATCATTCATCAAGAAAATATCCCTACAGGCTTGCCTACCTGCCAATCTAATGGAAGCATTTTCTTAGTGAGGTTTCCTCTTCCCAAAGAACCCTAGGTTCCTGCACTGTGTTAAATTTACGAAAAACCAACTGACACAACCCTGATCTCAATTTTATTACTAATGCCGTTATAATAAACACGGAGGAAAATGGACATGAACATGTTCTATTGCTGATTCTCCTGTGAAAAATGCAATAAAATTTGGGTCACTTCTGTAGTCTGTACTTTTCCATGTCAGGATCCCATACATTGCTCATAATCTTAGTAGAGGAGAACATGTGTTATATGTAAAGATATTTTGTGACAAGAATAAAAATAAAGTGATATGATGAGGTTGGAGAGAGGCTCATTGGTTAAGAGCACATGCTGCTCCTCCAAAGTCCCCAAATTTTGTTTCCAGCATCCACATGATCAGGTCACAGTTAGAGACACAGAGAAGTTGGGTGACCATGAAACTGTTACTAAAATTGTTGATTAGTAAAGCATTGTTTGAAATATTTACAATTTTCTTGACATAGGTAGATGAACTGACCATACTTTTTTTTATTCAAAGGAGTTGACACAGATGTGAAGAGTTTCTTCATGATGATATTTACCATCATGATGTTGACTTGTTCTGCCAGTTCCCTGCTGCTGTCTCCAGGGGCAGGGCAGATTGCAAAGGGTGTACCAACAACCTTCCTTGCGACCATCTACTTTGTGGCCACGCTGGTGAGTGTGAATTGTGTTTTTCTGAGAGGAAGAATTTCCTTATGTTCTTTCTTGCACATGTAACCTGCTTGACTCATCAGGACTTTGGATAGAGGCCTTATGCTCAACCTTATTACGGTCTGTAGGAGAGAAGGAACTGCCTTTCCTCCTAGGCTTTATGGTTACTGCTCTGCTGTCAGTCCTATAAAGGGAGAAGCCATGGAGCCACCTGAGACAGACGTGTTGAAAGTTTGCTGGTAACCTCGTGTAGAACTTCATAGATTAATGGAGATAGGTTGAATTAATATGTAAAATTCTAGCTGTTAAGAAGTTAGAGCTAATAGGCCAAGCAGTGATTTAATTAATACAGTTTCTGTGTGATTATTTCAGTGCTGGGCAGCCAGGACAAACAAGCAGCCTCCCCCAACATGGTTGACATGCTGTTTCTTGTGAGCTTTTACCAGAAATTTCATGGAATCATATTACAAAAATGTAATAAAATAGAACTTCAAGAAATTGGTGTGATTGGCTGATTCCCCAACAACACAACAGATTGTTGCCTTTCCTTAATGCCAGTGTGAGAGACTTGCCTGCTCTTTTAATCATAGCAGAGGAGATTTTCTTATTCAGTAGTCTCTAATAGGAAAGCATAGTTCCTGATTGTTTTTTACTCTTTACTCTTTGCTTGTTTGGGCACCCACCACACAGCTCCCAAATAAATCACATTGAATCTTATTATTACTTATAAATGCCTAGCCTTAGCTTCACTTGTTTCTAGCCATTATTTTTTTACTTAAGTTATCCAATCTACCTTTTGCCTCTGGGCTTTTTCCTTTTCTCTTTTTATTTATTTTTATTAAAAACTTATTTTACATACCTATTCCAGTTTCCACTCCCTTCCCTCCTCCAGCCCCTCCTACCTTCCCCCAACTCCACCTTCATCCACTCCTTAGAGAGGGTAAGAATTCCCACGGGGAGTCAACAAAGACTGGTACATCACTTTGAGGCAGGACCAGGTTGTTCCCCTATATATAGGATGAGGAAGGTATTCCTCCAAAAAGAATGGGCTCCAAAATGTCAGATCAAGCACTAGGTTCAAATCCTGGTACCACTGACAATGGTCCCACAGACTGTCCAAACCACACAACTGTCACCCACATTCTGAGATCCTCGTTTGGTCCTATGCAGGTTCCCCAGCTGTCAATTAGGGATCAGTGAGCTCCCATTTGCTCAGGTCAGCTGTTTCTGTGGGTTTCCCTACCCTTTCTCACTTCTGTGTATCTTACTCTCACCTTACTCCATGACTGGCAGTGTGAATCGGTGGCTGTGTAGCTGGGTGGCTGACCCCTAGCATCCTCCTCTTCTCCTTTTCTTGTTCCTCCATCCTCTCTGATTTCTCCTCCCAGTTATTCTCTCTGCCTGCCAGCCCTGCCTATCCTTTCCTGCCACATTTTTGGCAGTTCAGCTCTTTATTAGACCAATCAGGTGTGTAGACAGGCAAAGTATTTCAACTTGGCAAAGTTAATCAAATGCAATATAAAAAGAATGTGTCAAATCTTTGCATTAGTAACAAATGTTCCAGAGCATAAACATGTGTAATACATCTTAAAATAATATTCTACAAGATTGATCAATGTAATTGTTCAGCAGTAGAAGTCTAACTCAGGGCTCACTTGTTTTCTGAAAAGTGTTAGGAATAGTGGAAGATTCCAGACTCCTCATCACTCTCTAGTATTAGCACACTACTAATCAAATTTCTGTAATTGGCTGTCCAATCTTAGTCTTTTATGAACATGGATTACTCATGGTGGTGTCATTGGAGAGACTGTGGGACCATTGAGAGGTGGAGAATTGGTGGGGAAAGTCTGTTGCAGGAAGGGAGAGTATTTGGGTGTTTATAGTCCTGTCCCCCTTCCTCTTTCCTCTCTGCTTTATACTGTCGCATGAAGAAATGAGCACTCAGCTTCCTCTCTGAACTCCTTGCCTGCTGCCTGCTGCCTGCTGCCTGCTGCCTGCTGCCTGCTGCCTGCTGCCTGCTGCCTGCTGCCTGCTGCCTGCTGCCTGCTGCCTGCTGCCTGCTGCCTGCTGCTATGCCTCCTTGCCAAATGGCCTCGTATCACTCTGGAAAGTCAAGGCCATGTATCTCTCTCTTCTACAAGTGGCCTTGATCATGGTGTTGTATCTCAGCAACAGGGAAGTAACTGCTACATTTCCTGTTGCTCTTGCTGTTCTCCCCTCCCCATCTCATTCTTAGTTTGGATTTTGTAAACCACTGGGTCTACTTAGCTGTGCCCATACGTGCCTGTGTGAATGGCCATCTACTGGCACATGGGTAAGCTCTCAGGGGCCACATCCTTAAAGAAAACTGGCTCTCCCTTTCCCAGCAGTCATCACTGCCAATAGCTCCTCAGGTAAGGGAAGGAGTTCATGGCCTCCTCTCCTCCTCCATGCAGTATTTGTCTGTGTTAATCTTGTACAGGTGATGTCCATGCTGCCACAACTGCTCTGCGTTCACATGTGTCACTGTCCTTTTGTGACAGAAAACACTGTCTTGTTGTAGTTGTCCACTGCCTCTGGCTCTTACAGTCTCTCTAGCCTCTCTATCATCATGATCATTGATCCTTGGGAGGAGAGTGTGATATCCAGATGTCCCATTCAGTCCTGGATCCTCTGACATCTCTCTTCTTTGTATATTGACCAGTGGTGGGTCTGTCTTAATCACTGTCTCCTGAAAAAGGAAGCTTCTCTGAAGAAGGTCTGAGATGTACTAAACTGTGGGTGTCACAGCAACTCATTAGAAGTCTGTGTAATACCATATTCATTTAGAAGATTAACAGTAGATTTTCCCCTGGCACCTATGACCACACTAGACACTCCATCAAACAGGATTTCCATCTCATAGAGCAGGCCATAAATACAAACAGAAACTGAATGGTTGGTTAGTAGTCTGTCTGGTGTTTCTCATGTGTTTCTTTATCCCAAGAAAATGAAAAGCAGAAAAAACCCAGGTGGGATCACCACTGTCCCTGAGCATAATCGCAACCTCACCACGAGCCTCCTGAAATCCCTACCCTATATGTCAGCATTCCTAGCTCACTACCCATAGTGACAGCACCCAGTCAAATGGAAGTCACTACATTTAAGAGACAAAGAGAAACTGATGGAAAATTATGCCGCATCATGTAAATGATTGGACTCAGAGTACTCTGCAAAGCATGCTTGACTAGACTGTAGATTACTTTTTGTAAAGGAAGCCTTGGCATTCTGGTTCTTAGACCTAAAACCCTCTACCTTCTTTGGGTACTCTTATTGGGGTACAATGATGGTGTTTTCATTTGTGTCATTGTTGGGGTGCCGGACTCTCAGAGTGTGTTACAGTAGACAAACATGACTCTTGTGGACAAGATTATCTATAGAGATTGGCTCTGCTGCCATCCCAGAGCATGGACCCCAAAACATAGCGGAAACAGCAAGACGTAGGAACCATTTCCATGAGCTCTGCCCATTGTTGATTCTGGTTATCCTACCTCAAAATATAGAAGGGAAACCCAATCACCTTGAAGCCCAGAATTGCCTGAGCATTGTTACAGAAGATTTAAAAATGAAATGCAATTCTACAGTGATTCCAGTGTGTAGGGTGGAGGGTTAACGATGACAGAATGTGTCCACATACATAAGATGCATAAACCTGTGTGACCCCTCCCCTTTTCCCTTATGTGTGATTCCATATTTATGGGGGAGGATACGGGTGCACAGCAGCGTAAGTTTTTCTGGGATAATATGTGGGGGAATTTCAAAAGGAATACATCAGATATTACAATATTAAACTGTCTCCTGGAAGTCTCCCTAAATTCTGTGAAGTAGACTGACCTTTGTTGGGTCAGGAATCCAGAGGAAATTCCACAAATACCAAAGAAATAAATAAACAACGTAAAAGAGAACTTTAGTATACAGTGGTAGGAGTGTACCATCTCCGCAGATGGGTAGAGCCTTCTCCCTTCCCCATGCTGATGCTGGTGTGATGAATACTATCTTAGAGTCACTCAGAACTACACATTTGTTTAAAATTAAAGTCATTCTCAGAAGGACTGCAAACCTGTCCTCATGTGAATGTTACCTATCTCCTATCTTAGGGAGTCCACAGGCCTTCCCACCAGGAAATGAAGTCATTTTCACATCAATTTTGTTGCAGGTCGCTCCTCCACTTGGCTTTCTCTTAGGTTGCAAAGTTTTCACCCAGACCACTTTGTTAAAATTTCCAGTTCATGGTTTCCTGCTTGAATCCAAATACTAATAAAAACCTGAAAAACAAAACATAAAGAAGTTAAAACAGACTTGGGAGGCCCCTTTCCTGTGTTGTTAACCAAGTGCACAATTGAGAAGGTGAAGAAGGTGGGACACATTACATCTAAGTGAGAGACTGCTGACATCATTGTCCAGAGGATATGGACAGTCTTAGTACAAAGAAAACCTTTAACATTGACATTTAAAAGTCTTGTTTGTTATTTTGAACACGATCATAACAACCTTTTAATGTAAGTAAAACAGCTTTAATAACAGTTTGTTTTGTTGAGTGCTTAGTCTTAACCTTACCTAAGGTAACAAAATAAAACAAAATCAAACAAAGAAAAAACAGAAAACTTTCTCTGTAGGACAAGTACTTGTGTCCCAAGTTGTCCCCTTTAGATCATCCAGGCAGTCTTTAAAAATAATTCTCAAAAGGAACCTAGCAATCCCTCATAACCTAAAGGGCAGGAGTTGGTAGAGTTACTCTCTTTTTACCTTTCCTAAATGTCTTATAAAACGGACGTAGAGACCTGAATACTTGGGTAAACTGTAGAGTGCATGTGCCCAAGGAGTGACAGCTACAGTGTGAGGCAGAACATCCCCAGGGTCAAGGATCCCTTTCCTTTGAGTGGGGCCCTGGTCCTACCCAAGCAAATGGCATGTTGTCCTCTTTAATAGGACACATGGGGTATTCAAGTTTGCTAGAGTCTATTGTTCTTGTTTCCAGATGTGCAGACAGGCCCACTGAGAGCCTCTAATTAACAGAAAGGATGAATTATTCCTCAAACAACAGGGGGATGGATTCTCTCTCCAATGGGTGCTGATTCCTCTGACAGTTTTATTGTTGATGTCTAGGATTGTTCCTCTAACCTAGGTCTTTTTTTATTTCCATGTGAAATTCAATATTTTTTTCTAATCTGTGAATTGCATTAAAATTCTGATGGGTATTACATTTAATCTGTTGACTGTTTTTGGTAGGATGGATAGTTTCATAATTTTTATCCTAGGAAATGAAATATAATCATGGGAGGTCTACCTCTCATATTTTTTCCTCTTTCTTTTTTTCAGTGTCTTAACCTTGTTATTGTACAAGTATTTGATTTGGTTAGATTTATTCCACGAGTCCCCTCCTTCCACTTTTTTGAGGTTTTTTTGATTGACACTGTTTCTCTCATTTCGTTCCTATTATATTTATAATTTGTACTTGGAAAAGTGCCTGACTTTTGTATGTTTGTCATGCTGTCTTATCACAGCCTTAGGAAAGGACCTAAGACAACTGGTTATTGTATAAAGTTGCTACATGTGACCTCAGAACTAGTTAAGAAGCCAACCGGTGTGTTTTCTGTATAACCATGTGGTCAGGTGCAGTCTGAATGCATGCACACACCGCCATTGTTTGCATATTCTAGTGTATCCAAGCCTGCATAGGGCAAGTCTTATGCGAACTTCACAGCCGTCCCTTGTTCATCCCAGGTCTTCATTCATAGCATCTGCATAAACTGGGTATTATAAAGGACCTAAAGGGGATTTCTAAATATGTACGATGGGTGCATTTAAAGTTTAAAGAATGTTCATGGATTGCATGCCATTTTAAAGATTATGTAATATTTGTAAGTTTGGGTCCTGCAAAGTGGGGTGACTTGTTATCTTTTAAAACCCGCATGGAGTCTTAGCTTTGCAAAGAAGGTCTAAGGGAACTTGAAGAGGTAGGATCTTGTCTAGAAATCTTAGTTCCTGTCCTGGTGCTAATTTGTGGTTTTGTTCTTCATAGTTTTGCTCAGGTCTGTCACTGTATTACATGAACTTCATGCAGGCCCTCTCATGGATTAAGTACTTGAGCATTCCACATTATGGATTTACAGTAAGTTGTCCTGTCTGTCACTGTACTTGGGTTCTCCTACTGTAGCAACTGAAATGATTCCAAACCAAGTCCTTTCCTCAGCTGTAATCTCTAGTTAGCCAGTTAGGGTGAGAAGAATCCCAGGGTAAAGGGGAAGGTAGATAATATGATGAAAAGCAAACAGTTGTGATTCTGCCCAATAAGGAAGTAAGGAAAGGATCAGGACTAAAATACATAGTTTATATCAGGAAAATAAAAGACAGAGAAACCATGGGATACCCTGAGCTATGATGGTTTGCTAAGCTTTGTCTGGAGGAAAGTGTGTCGTAATAGACTTTCCCATTCCAATAATCACAACTGGATTTGATGAAAACAAGCAAGATAATATTGTTACTATAAATCAGTAGTATTGTTTTAAATATAGTGTTTACAGGGTAACAGACTTGGAGAGAAGGAGGAGACTGGAGTAGCCTAGTTAGAGAGTCCACATCTTAGTAGTTGGGAAACCCCATCATTTCATTTCTAAACCTCCAAGTGTGGGGGAAGGGACTGCTTTGCTGAGCAGAATGAACTTGGTGAGAACATTTGTGTTTAAAAATATTTCTGAGAAAGATAAATATATTTAAAAATTACAGTCAATATTGAACTTAAAGTTATAGCTGTGTTTATTTTTTGGAAATTTATAAAAATATTAAACTATTTGCCTTTCCCTGTTTCTGTTTGTGTTGCAGGCTTTTCTGCACAGTGATCTCCTGGGACAAAATTTCTGTTCAGAAAACAAAACAGTAGAATTCATTACGTGTCAGAACTCTGTAATGTAAGCTTGAGTTTAGTGCCACAATGGGACACAGAATACTACTAGACTTAGAAGGAAAACCCTGCTTTAGGGATTAACTGTCCTCTGCCCATTCCCCAGAGTGAGTCATGGTAAACAATACATAGGTGGCTATGTTTTCATCCTGATGCTCCAAGGTGTAGATGATTTTCAGAGAGGGTTCTTTAGGGCCTTTTAAAAATGGTTTTGGTGTCTTGATTGTGGATTTGAGTTGTTTCAGAACCTTTGAGTTTGACATGGCTGCTCTGATAGTTTACAATGTCATACAGTTTCCACGTGTATAGACTATGGTACCTGTGAGCAGAGCCCGAGAATATCAGTAAAACAAAGATAAAAGTGAGTGAAGTTTGTCTGCCTGATTTCAGGGTATTTCCTCTGCCCCACGCTCTGGAAGACCTTAAGAAATCAAAGGGTGGTGCTCCTTTCTCTCTCTCTCTCTCTCTCTCTCTCTCTCTCTCTCTCTCTCTCTCT